CTGTCTTTCTTTCTCTCTGCCTCCGTCTGTCTCTCTCTGTCTAGCGCACTTATATACGATAATACTGCCTGTTCTAGAAACTTCTAAGACTCTCAACACGTGCTACCAGCGTCACTTGACTTCTGCTGTCGTAACACACTAGCGAATTTTCTAGAATACTCGTCACGTGACCCCCACTGTCGTAACAATATGTTAATAATGAAGTATGAGCCTACTTATGTACCTATGAAAGAATAGGAGAGATTTTATAATCACATTGGTTGTAAACTTGAAATACTGTGACTGACAGATACGTATCGGTAGTAACTGCTACTTGTTCTACACCATGTTATGATGTAATTGATACGTCACTTGTAGCCACACCTAATGATATGATGTATCACAAACTATTGTCAAGACAACATAGTTTATGCTAGGTGATATGACATAAAGCAACTTGTTGCCAAGCCAATACATAGGCTATTTACAATCCCCATTCATAATTTTTTGACATGTTGTCGGTTCAAATTGGACAGACATATCTATGTATCAGTTTGTGCATTATGTAGTCTGCACCAAAGTTTTTTGTATGGCCTTGTTTTTAAAAATTCAATGGCTAACAAGAATTTTAAATGGTCTTAAAATTTTGTCTGTGTGTTTTCAAATAGTAAATGCTTCTGGATACAGTGAAACTGACCAGAACAAAGTAAAGCATGAAGAGAGCTATCATTTGACGTTTCACTGATCCTTATTGGTTCAGCCAATTCGAGCTGACATGCTGGTTTTGGTTTTAACATTCACTCGCTGACAGTGAGTTTCGTGACCATTGTGATGTTTTTAAAGCAGATGTACAAATAGCGTGAGTACAGTTGCCTTAAAATAAATCATGTAACTTCAGTGTGTAATAGGACTGTAGATGTTTTCATTTGTTTTTTAGTGTACAATAATTAGTATTTTGTGTGAGGTTTATATATTAGCAACTGCAATCTCACATTTACACGCTTCCGTGGCCAGGAACTTATCTGAGACCCCCTATAACTAATGAAAAACAATTAATAATCATACTTGTAATTTGACCTTTTGCACCATGAGAACGTCTTATGGGAACAGTGCTAACAAAGTTTCTTTACCTGAAACTTGTGACAAAGTGAGATAAAATGTAATAAAATAACTTCAATTTTAAACCCATACGTATCGATTTATATTATATTGACGAGCTGACGTACCCACCCCTTGTCTCGGTTGTGAACTTAAAGGCTACCGATAGCATAGTGGTATGTATGTCTGCAGACTTGCAGTGCTAGAAACTGGGTTTTGATATGCATAGTGGGCAGAGTAGAGATAACCCATGAGTAGTGTTGTGCTTAATTACAAAAAACAATTACAACTTGAAATAAACAGTGCAAACTCAGCATGTAATAGTAGTGTAGATGTTTTTTATTTGTTTGGTGTACAATGATTTAGTATTTTCTGTGTGTGAGATTTATATATATTTGAAACTGTGACATCGCATGTAGACACTTCCATGGCTGTGAACTATAATTCTCTTTGACTGTATATAAAGGGCAGTTTTCTGTTCCTTTTAAATATTAGATTATATGTATATATATATATATATATATATTGTGTAGAGATATTGTTTACAGATAAAAATAGGACATGATCTTGTATGTATAAAGTGCTTAGTGAAGCCTCATTTAAAGTATTTCTGTGCAATTTGTCTATCTTAGAAAAAGGACAGTAACGATTGAGTTCTTGTATGGTGGTTTAAGAAAGCAACTGTAAAAATAGCATTGTGACATAGGTAACTAGTTCTCTGAGATACTATTACCAATGTTAGTTTTTATTGATCCCTCCCCTCCCTTAAAATTAATTTTGTTGCCTTGATAATTCAAAAATTATTAAACAAAAGTGGTTTTAATACCATAAAATAATATTTTATCTTTAAATTAAATATTCTAACCCTATACACCACTTAGTGGAAATGGTTTGTGATGTTTTCTGTGCGTGTTCTGTATGGTGTGATGAAGGTGGTGTATAGAATGTGAGAATCAAAGTAAAATAAATCTGTTTTATTAAAAATGTTTAGGTATTCTTTAAAACTATCAAGATGCCAAGTCACTGCTAAAAAGAATTGGCAGTGAATTATATGATGAATAGCATGGCAAAGACATAGGTCTCCATGCTATTTTTATGGTTAATTTTCTGTTTGTTGTGGGAGGATGAAACAGGACATCCATGCTGGGTCAGATTTGATTTTTTGTATATTCCATGGAAGGTCGTTAAGGTAATCACTATATATTAATAAGATTTGGTGTTGATATTAGTTATGTGATGGTAGTAACTGAATAGTTTTTAAGTTATGAGAAACTGGCTAAACATTAACAGTACTTCTTATTAGAGAGTACACCCCAAAGGATACACACCTTTCTGTTCAAAGACTAGTCACTAGCCCCTTGTCTTAACTAGTATGTATATAACCATGCCGTAATGTTGAACTTGTGTTTAATTACTGTTGGTTTTACATATTTTTCAGGAGTAAAATAAAATACATCAGTTATCTCTTACTGTAATCATGTATAACAATTCATGTTCCTTAGTGTTTTGTAGTTTAAAAGTTAAAACATTGTAGTGGTGTCAATATAAGATGATATTTAATGACTGGATTAGGGTTAAGGGGAGGCTAGATAATTTTGTTAAAAAAAAACAGATTTAATGGCTATCTTCCAAGATGTACACATAGGTTTTCGCTAAGAGCCAATGGCAACAGTTTACACCTGATTAGGTGTCATCTTATTTAATTATTTACACGGTGTTTAATCTAGGCCAGAATATTATGTGACATTTTAGGGCCCCTTGCTAAATATTTCTGAGACAATCTTCTGCTTTTAATTGACAATCAAGAATGTAACTACAGTATTGTGATATGCGTTTAATATTATTTTCTCTCTCTGCATTTTTAATAGTTTTTCTTTTAGATCTAAAATGAGTAAAATTATTAAAAAACTGGTGTTGACTCACGAGATTTTGTGTTCTTGAAAGTTCTTTGTTAGGTGATTTAAAATAAAGGAAACC